CCCCCCAAAATATAGTCTGGCCCATCACATAGTCTGAGGGACGGTGGACCGGACCACGGCTGAAAAAGGTTGCTGACCCCTGGTGCCCTTTATATGTCCAGCTGTCCTTTGTCAACAACAAATTGCCGCTTTTTTGTTGTTGAATATATGGTAATTTATGGACCTAATAGGCATCTAAAGCCATTTGCACATAACAAAATATGTATTGTATCAAAGTAATTGATACAGAAATGAGCAAACCAGTGATGTTTTAGAGAGCAGGCTAGCAGGCGTGGCCCATTACTTACATCATAGGAGCCTACACAACACAAAACACTGTTGCTGTATGTAGGTTTTATTTCATTTGTTTTTTATCTTATATTTTGGAAATGTACATCCAGTGTTTTTTCCCTTTTTTGGGGGGGGGGCCAAGAGAGTGGGGCCCTAAGCTATAGCTTGTTTAGCTTATAGGTAAATCTGGCACTGGTGCCACCTTGCTCACAGCTGATAGCAGTGCAAGAAAAGGCCAGGAGCAGCCAAGCAGCTAATTTGAAATAAGGACTGCTCTGTACCAATGTCATATGCAAACTGACTATGCAACTCTGCGTGGAGCAGGTATCAGGACAAGGAAAACCCTCTATTGTCTGTGCAATTTGTCTAGCGCATCTGGAAAGTGAGGTGTCCGAAAACATATTCTTGGACTGACATCTGACCAAGCAAAATCTATTTTAAAAGCCTTTAGACAAGAGCCATGATAAAGCAGTGTCAATTAGAAGGCAAGAGCTAGAGGCACTTGCAATAAACCACAAGCCAGTGCCTTTTCTTAAACAAAGAATATGTTGTTAACAATGATAAGAATGATGATGATGATGATGATTAATAATTTCATTTATGTACCACTTATCTTCAAGCAAAGCAATTTACCATACAATCAAAGCATACAGAGAGCAATTAAGGTTACTTGGAGGGTCATTCTGCAGGGATTCTTAAGCTGTGATTCCTGTATTGCAGGAGTTTGGACTAGATGACCCCTGGGAGAGGGGTCCCTTCTAACCCTACAGTTCTTTTTTCCTTTGATTCATTGCAGCTTTATCAACAGAGGTTGGCTACCTGTCAGGGATTCCTTAGCTGTGATTTGTGCAGTGCAGGGGCTGGTTTATATAATCTTAGGGGTACTTTCCATATCTGAAATTTTATGACTCTTTTGCTGTGGGTGATTTTGAGGGGCCCTTCCAACTCTTTAGCTGGTATTCCTGCGTTGCAGGGGGATGAACTAGACGACCCTTTGGAGTCCCTTTAGTTATTTGATTTTCAGATTCTTAATTACATTTATATCCCACCCTCCCTCAGAGGAGCTACTTGTGGCACACACACTAATATCTAATGGGAAACACAGCTCTGTAGCCCGGAGAGAGGAGAGAGGTTTTTTATTTTTTATTTTTGGCATGGAAAATAGAGCCATCTCTGAGCAGCTGTCAATCCCTGTGACCTTAGCTCCTCCTGTGCATATTGCATGAGGTTTTCCCCCCCTCCTCCTCGTCCTCCAGTCCCCCCCTTTTTTTTCTTTTTGCACACCCCCTCCTCACATGGACCCCCCCTCCCTTCCATCTGAGTTACTGTTCCTCTGCGCTCCACCGGGACCTCAATGAGATTTGAGTTCCTGGTAGATGACACGGAATAATTGAAATGTCCTTCTGATGACCTTCAGACTCCGGCAGCCTGATGGTAATCAGGGAGGGCTGACAGATGACTGGCACGCAGCCCCCCTTCCGTGAAGCTGCACACGCACTCACATACCCTGTTGCACATCCACACACAGGGACAGAGGCCACCTTTATGACGAGAGATGAAAAGCCCACACTCGGGTCCTCAGACAGAACAAAGGGACTCAAAGCTGTGCTTTGCAGGCATGAAGAAGGTGAGGACTGAGCATCATACATATTCAGGCCTTCCCAGTAGAGTCTCTCTGGAGCTCACTAACATCTCTGATTGCCTCAGATTATTGTGTCTTTTTTGTGTGTGCGGAAAGTTTTATTTAAAAATTCATTTTGTAACAGGCAAAACAGTTACAACAACCGATGAAAAGCAAAATTATAGAAGAAGCATGCAGAATGAGTGTGAGTTAAAATATGCAAGCTGAAAATCAATCAGAAGGCAGAAACATTTTTTAAAATATCCTATGCTTTGCAAGTACTTAAATTTGATTAAATTTAAATTTGATTAAGGCGTTTTTTTAGTTCCAGTGGAGAACTGTGTTGGTTAAGATTACAGAATCGCAGAGATGGACCACAAGGGTTCATCTAGTCTAACCCCCTACGATGCAGGAATCACAAGTAATCCCCCCCCTTTGGTCAAGATTTTTGTTTAAAATTCCTTTTATAATGTAAATACAGACATATTGACTGTGAATCCTGGAAGCCCTGCTCCCTGCCTTGCAGGCCTTTTCCCACCTGGTCTGAGAGGGGGGGCCTCTTACTGACCCCAGATACAAAAGCTGAGGCTGCTGAACAGAACCTTGGACTGGAAAGGGTTTTATTGGGAGTGGTTGTTGCTGTTATCAATACTCCTTTTTCGTATATTTGTTTTAGATGTTATTATGATCTACGTGGAAATGTTCAATTTGGTTGTGTGCTTTTGGGTGTGTTTTATTTATTGTTTATGGCTACTTTTGTTATTTTTGAAATCATGTATTCTTTTATGCTGAAAGCTGCCTGGAAGTTCTCAGCACCCCTAAGAAAAACTACAGTTCCCAGGCAGCTTTGTGGGAAGCCGCCTGCTTTCGATGTACGGCGGGGTCAGCAGCTGTTTAAGAAGAATGCAAAAGCAATGGTGAAGTGTTTAATGTTACATTTCTTGGGGGCCCCAGACTTTCCATCCATTTCTGTCTTCCCCTCTTGCCAAGAAGTGTTATTTTGCAGGAACAAATGTCAGTTATTGACTATAGATAAAGGAGGTCGAAAAACATTCTGCCAAAGAGTTATCCAATCCCCATTAATCTCCATAAAACAGCTTTATTGTAGGAAGACATGTTAGCTGTACCCTTCATTTTGATCTCGGTCAGTGATTAAGGCGTTTTTACTAAACTTATGCCCCTTATAAATGCAGCTTGTGAGTTGAATGGTTAAAAGCTTGTAATGTGAGCGGTTCCTCTCTGCTATTCATTAAATAAAGATTTTAATTTTTTGGCTTGAAACCTGAGGTCCCTGACCAAAACCACAAACATTACTATGCTATTCTGCCTTGGTCAGGCCCCACTGGGCATCCTGTGTCCAGTTCTGCATGCCCCAATGTAAGGGGGACATTGACCTGCTGGAAAGTGTGCAAGGGAAGGCAATGACAATGGTGAAGGCTCTGGAAACCAAGCCTTATGAGGAAGGGTGGAAGGAGTTGGGTATGTTTAGCCTGGTAAAAAGGAGACTGAGAGGAGATATGCTAACCATCTTCAAATATCTAAAGGGCTGTCACATGGAGGACAGGCTAGGGCCTGAACCAATGGATTCAAATAACAAGAAAAAGAAATTCTGACTCAACATTATTAAGAACCTTGTGGTGGCAAGCGTTGTTCTACAGTAGAACAAGCGCCAGTCCACCTGTGAGACAAGGTGAGGCAACTGCCTCAGGTGGCAGGATCCACAGGGGCAGTAGATCCAGCCTCCAAGGAAGACATTGTCCTCTGCTGCTGCTGCTGCAGGGGTGGCACCGATGACTGCGGCATTCTCCTCAGCAGTCCCTCAACACAGCCTGTACAGAGGCCTCTCAGTGAATAGGAGGCACTGCTGGTCTCCTTCCACCTCTAGGGAGGAAATGGCAGGGGCTGCCTTTCAGGGTCTCCAGGGGTCCTCACTTGCCCAGCGTGAATCAACTCCCCAAACCCAATGACCTTTGATTTTCACTTCCTCTATTGGGTAAGGTTTATTTGATTCCTCCATTGTTCCTACTGTAGATCTTCACTCACCCCTTCTTCCCTAGTGGGAGCAGGGGGAAAGTTCACCTCAGGTGCCAAAATGTTTTGGGCCAGCCCTGACTGGAATGGACTCCCTTGGAAGGGGGTGGGCTCTCCTTCATTGGAGGTTTTTAAGCCACCTGTCGTGGATTCTTTAGCTGGGATTCCTGCACTAGGTGACCTTTGGAGATCCCTTCCGATCCCACAATTATATGATTTTATAATTATCTCTTGCAACTTTACAAAGTTGAGGATGCCTTTCCCTTCACAAGTTCTTGGGAGAAACTTAACCAGCGAACAGCAATTTATAAAAGCAATCAGCTCAGAGCTGAACTCACATTCTTTTGCACAGCGGAATGTGGGTCCCGCCTCGGATATTTAAACTTATCTCAAGGCAAACAGCTGAACGTGAAATTAGGGAGCTGCATGAAACAAAACTGATTTTAAATAGTCAGTTGTAACATTTCCTTATTCTTTTGAAGTCTTGCAAATGGACTCGGCTAAATTTAGCGGGCTTGGTGCTAGAACACCAGACACTGTTTTGCTTCGAAGCCGTTGTGCAGTACTAAACATTCACTTTAACAGATAAAAACTCTAATGCACCAATGCAAATGGCCCCTATCAGAGGCACTCCCTAGTTCCTGCATCCATAACTTATTCTGTTGTAAAGGTTTACTAAATTACAAATGTGGAAAATATTTTCTTTTTTCTCACCTAATTGTTGTAAGGGTAGCAATAAGCTTGGTACATATTATCACCGATGGCAGGAATGTAAATTGGTGATTTTTGGGATTTAATTTTGACAGAGATGATAAATATTACTATTTGTGGTATAAAATTAATGTGACTGGATATGTCTGGTGAGACCAATGTAGATATATAGTCCAAAGAATTGGTCTTATATATCACCTTGCAGCTCAATGGAAAATCTTACATTGGACACTTGGTACCACTCAGTCTTGAATAGAGCTATAGTAGAGAAAATAACACATAGTTTGAAATCTTGGCAAGGACTAGAACTCCAGACACTTTTTAGAAGAACTGACATTCCTTTATTACAGATTCTGCTTTTTGACCTACGAAGCTGCCTTGTTCTGAAGGAGGCCTTCGATAGCCCAAACCTGTCCATTTTTTCTTGCAACGGAAGTGAAAGTTGATCAGATCCCTAGAGATTGATTGAATGACAGATGCCAGGGACTGAATTCACAAAGTTCCCTGGGAAAAGAGTATTCCTCATTGCTGAACTCTGTGCCTTCTCCCCATCTTTGGATTCATGCTGCTTTGGGGGTATTTCGCAGGAAGCTAATACAGCGGAAGACAGAAATGGGATTCAAGATGACCTTAACAGATTGGAGAACTGGGCCCAAACTAAGAAAAATAAAATTCAGTTGGGACAAATGTCAGGATCGCCACTAAGGCAGATATAATCAGCTGCAGAAATATAGGATGGGGAACAAATGAAAAGGAGTTTTGGTAGGCCACAAGTTTCAGAGCATTAATCCTGCTTTTTGGTCTTTTGCCAGCATTTGATACCACTGACCATGGTATCCTCCTGAACTAGCTCTGGTGAATGGGATTTGGGGGCAGTGTATTACAGTGGTTCCTATCCTACTTTCATGGTTGAGTGCAGAGAGTAGCATTGGGAGAGGGCCTTTCAGCCCCCTGGCAGCTATACTGTGCTGTGCAGCCCGGGACTACCTTATCTTCAGTGCTATATCTACATGAAGCCATTGGGAGTGGTCATTCGGAGTTTCAGGGTGAGGAACCACCAGTATGCTAATGACACTCTGTTTCTCAACAACATCTGAATCAGAAGAGACTGTGCAGTCCCTGGGCCACTGCCTAGTCCTAGACACAGTGGTGAAATGGATGGTGTGTAGGGGAACAAGCTGAGCTTGAATCCTGCAAAACAGAGGCACTGTGGGTGAGTAGCTCCCATGTCTGGGAAATTGGTCTGTTGCCTCTGCTGGGTGGGGTTGTGCTCCCCCTGAAGGAGCAGGTTCAGAGTCTGGGGGTACTTGTGCACCCAGCTCTGTCACTGGAGGCTCTGGTAGCCTCAGTGGCTAGAAGTGCCTTTTAACAACTGTGACTGGCTTGACAGCTATGGCCACTTCCTGGACTGGGAAAGCCTTGCTCATGGTAGTTCGTATGATGGTTACTTCAAGACTGGATTAATGCAATGAGCTCTATGCGGGGCTTCCCTCACCCCTGCTCTGGAAGCTTCAGTTTGTACAGAATGCTGCAACACAATCGCTGCAACACTTATCAGCATATAACACATGCACTCAGATATCTGCTATTGGGTCAAGTTCAATGTGTTATTATTAGTATATAAAGCCCTTAACATATTGGGACAAGTTTGCCTTCAAGATCACCTTCCCTCACATGTGCCTACTCTACCAATTTGATCAGCAGAATTGGCATTGCCACAGGTGCCACATAATACCTGTTCCACATTTGTAAAAAGTCGGATCATTTAGTGCAGCAGCACCTACAGACTTTAGAACTCCCTGTATATTGAGATCAAGAAGGTGCCTTTTTGGTGCCTGCTAAAAACATTCCTGTTTAGACAAGCCTACCCAGATGTTTACGATTTTAATCTGTTTTAGTCTTTTAACTTTTTTATGTTTTAAAGTAGGTTTGTGAATTCTTCCTGATTTTATTGTTTTATCTTTGAGAAGTTTTGTTTTGTTTTTACAATCAAGCAGTGTACAATTTTTCTGAAATAAATAAATAAATAGTGTTAAGCTTCACAGTTTAACGGTCTTCATATATCACAAACTTAACAGTCACCAGTGTGATGTGGCAGCAGAAACGGCTAATGCTATCCTAGACTGCATCAACAGAAGTCCAGTGTCCAGGTCAAGGGAAGTCATAGTATCACTTTGATTCTGCCTTGGTCAGGCCAAACGTGGAGTCCTCTATCCGGTTCTGGGCACCACAGTTTAAGGAAGATATGGACAAGCTGGAAGGGGGGCAGAGGGAGGAGACCAAGACTATAAAGGGTGGGGGAACCAAATCTTACAAGGAATGGTTGAGGGTGCTGGGTATGTTTACCCTAGAGGAGACTGAGAGGTGACATGACAGCCATTTCAAATACAGTACAGTGGTACCTCAGGTTACATACGCTTCAGGTTACATACGCTTCAGGTTACAGACTCTGCTAACCCAGAAATATTACCTTGGGTTAAGAACTTTGCTTCAGGATGAGAACAGAAATTGTGCTCCAGTGGCACGGCAGCAGCAGGAGGCCCCATAGGCTAAAGGGTGCTTCAGGTTAAGAACAGTTTCAGGTTAAGTACGGACCTCCGGAACGAATTAAGTACTTAACCCGAGGTACCACTGTATTTGAAGGGCTGTCACATGAAAGAAGGAGCAAACTTGATTTCTGCTGTTCTGGAGAGGAGGATTAAAAAAAAAAGGATTCAAATGACAAGAACAGAGATTCTGACTAACATTAGGAATAAATTTCTGGCAGTAAAAGCCATTTGGCAGTGGAACAGACTACCTTTCAAGGGGATTATTCCTCCTCTGTTGGTTTTTAAGCAGAGATTGGGTGGCACTCCATCCAGCACGGATTCTTTCGCTGTGATTCCTGCATTGGAGGAGGTTGTACTAGATGACCCTTGGAGTTCCTTCCAACTCTGCCGTTCTTTGATTCTACATCTCCACTTATTTGAATACACTGTGGAATGAGAGCTCTGGCTGTAGCCATGCTGGCCTTTCTGTAGTGAAGAAACATTATTTTTTTTAGCGGAAGGCAAGATGGATTGTTTCAATTTTGCTAGGAACAGAAACCCATCCCCAGTTACCTAGCAATCGGGAAATTGTACACAGAGGGAAAATGCTATATAGTTCTGGCCCAGCCTGACCACTCAGCTGCAAGACATGCACAACCGACCCTGTATTTTACTGTCTCCTGAAAATTTGCTTGTCGCTTTCCTACATTACAAGACTTTTCCACATTTTACATTTTGTTAACTTTCAAGAGATCAAAGGCTGCTTAGATTTTAAAAAAAAAATGCTCTCTCCACCTTGCTGCTAGAAATACTTTATAGAATTTCCTGCATGGATTCTCTGTGTTATTCTCTCTCCTCCTTTTGTAAAAAAACAAGAAATGAGTTTTGTGATTAATTATTCTGGGAAAATAACCTCCAAAGGCACATCTGCTCCCCGTTTGTTTGCACATTCAAGGGGTAAATCAGCTTTTGAAGCTGAAGTGAGCTAAAAGTTGTGAAATGTTGGAAGTGTTGTGATTCTTGCAATGCAGGGGGTTGAACTAGATGACCCTGGGGGCCCCTTTAAGCTGTACAATTCTATGAACTTCATGACAGATTGCAGGCAAACAGAAAAGCTGCAAATGCTCTTAATTTTGCAGCAATGTTGCAACCATTAAAATGGCTGTGTTGGCTAGTGGGTGGAGCACATTGTTCCCTAGACATGTTGGGATGGAATTGGACAAAAATATTGTCCACATGACGTGGCATTATCTCCTGGTCCTTTGAAGAATTCATCCTTTGGTATTAAGCCTTTTTATCCTCTGAGACCAAGGCGGGCAACAGGTATTCCATGGTGAAACAATTAAGACCATAAGAATGTCATAATGGGAGCACTGTTGGATCAGGCCAGTGGCCTGAAGTCCAGCACCCTTTTCTCACAGTGGCCACTCAGATGCCTATGGGAAACCTGCAAACAGAGCCCGAGCACAAGAGCCATTTCCCTTCCAGCGTCTTCCGGCAACTGGCATTCAGAAGCATGAATACCTTCAGCTGTGGAGAGCAGAACAGAGCCATCATGGCTAGTAGCCATCAATAGCCTTCTCCTCCTCCAGGAATTTGTCCAATCTTATTTTAAACCATCCAAGTTGGAAGTCACAACCACCTCCTATGTGGGTGAGTTCCATAGTTTAACTATGCGGGATGCTTGTTTTGTCTGGTATGAACAGAATTTTAACTTTTGTATGTTTGAAAGTACTGCTGTAATTTTTTCTTGATTTTCCTCTTTTATCCTTTTATAAACTGATTTGAGGGTGGTTGTTGTTTTTTGTCTTTCTTTTTTTTTACAGTCAAGTGGTGTATACATTTCAGGAAACAAGCAAGCAAACAAACAAACTGAATAGTAATCCAGCAGGCTTTTCTTATGTTCTTACGTTCCCACTGGGCTACATCGCTGCACAGCCTGTTTATTGTATTTTGAGAGTCTTCCTTTGCTGCCAGCCAAATCTAGACATAATGAGTGATGCTCAGGGCTGGTGCGCAGGATTGTCACGTTGATAGACATAATAAGTCCCAAAGAGTCAGCAAGGAGGCATGGCTGAAACACTCCAGAATTTCACATAAAATGCAAAGTGGTTTTCTCCCCAGGGCACTTCTGAAAGGGAAATTCAAAGGTTGTCTGTCAGCAGGCTTTTGGAGCGGGGGTGGGTTCCATCTGAAATTCCTTGTTTGTTTGTCTGTATGGACAGCCCTCAGAATGGCAACACTGCGATCATAGAATTATACAATTATAGGGTTGGAAGGTACACCAAAGGCCATCTAGTCCAGCCCCCTGCAATGCAGGAAGCACAGCTAAAGTGTTCTTGACAGATGACCATCCAACCTCTACTTAAAAACCTCCACAGCAGCAGAGCCCCTCAAATGACAGCCACTTAAATTTGCTGATGTTCAGAAGCTTTTAGCAGGAAGGAGGCATAGCTTTTCATGCTGTTCGGCTGGTTCCGCCCCACCCTCCCCACTCAGTCTCCCTCACCTTATGGGACTCATTAGCAGTTAAACATTCCCCTAGCTAGCACCCCCACCCCACCCCATCCCCGGAGGCTGTAGGCCTACTTGGCTCCCAGAAAGAAAAATCAGAAAACATCCATACACAGACAACCCCCCCCCCCCCGCTTTCTACCATGCTGAGCCTTTATCAGCACTTAATTAAAACTTGACAAGAAGATTAACACAGAGAGGGCAGTTTTTAATTAAATTAATATCACATTCAATTTTCCAATCCACTGTTGCGCACCAGACACCTGCAGATCTTAATACAAAACCAAACAAATCGAGAATGGAGGGGAAAGGCAGAGGTAAATGAAACAGGAGTTATTTTGAACTCCCCTTCCCCATCGGCCCTTCCTATTCGCCTGTGATTTTCCATTCTGAGCTGGAGGATCAATAAAGACATAAGGGGAGCCCACAAGCAGGTCCCAAGCACAAGAGCAACTCTCCTGTGACTTCCAGCAACTAATGTTCAGAAGCATTCCTACCTCTGACCATGATGGAGCCATCCAGGATGGTAGCCATCAAGAACCTTGTCCTCCATGAATTTGTTCTTTCAAAGGTATCCAAGTTGGTGACCACTGCTTCCTCCTGTGGCAGCAAGTTCCATAGTTTAACACCACGCTGTATGAAGAAGCGCTTTCTTTTTTATCTGTACCAAATATTCCAACATTCAGCTTTGTTAGATGTCTATGAGTTCTACTGGGTGCCTTTGAGATTTGGGGTCTAAAATATATATTTTTTATTGCTTGACATTTCACTTGGTAGTGCTAGACCTTCATTGCCATGGCACAACCAGCCTTCACTGGGTACCACGCTCTGGATGGGAGAATGAGCTGCTAAGTCACGTGGTCCATATCAGTAGCCCACAGGAGAAAGAGCTTGGGGTTGGGTCACCATACAACACTGCCTTCCAAGGTTCTGTGAGCAGCAAGGCACTTTCTTTGAGGAGGGTGGACTGGTCAGACCCAAGGGGAATGATGCCTGCAGTGAAAAGTAAAGGAACTTGGTCAACACCCCACTGTCAACGGATCTGTCAGGCATGCTTCTTTGTGGGTCATATACTTTTATGGCTCCACAGCTGTGAGGATTTCATGATACTCAGGATCACCCCTTTGGAGTGTGAATAAGCTGTTGCTGCCTTCTGCTTTCCATCCTTGACATATCTCTTTGAGTACACCTAGAGGGAGAATCATAGAACTGTAGAGTGGGAAGGGTCCTCCAAAGGTCATCTAGTCCAACCCCCTTGCAATGTAGGAATCACAGCTAAAGCATCCCAGATGGATGGCCCCCTAACCTCTGATTGAAAATTACCAAGGAAGAAGAGCCCACTACCTTCCAAGTGAGTCCATTGCACTGTTGACCAGCTCTTGCCCTCAGAGCTCTTACCCTGCCTAGGGTTTAAATGGAATCTCCTTTCTTGACAACTGGTTTTCTCCTTCTTTCGCTCTCTGTTTTTTAGAATATTTATTGAAATTGACAATGATGAGATCCCCAGATACTTCCACCATCCTAGCCCTTAGTTGCTGATTTTTCTTCATTTACAAGCAGCGCTCTGGGCTCTGGCGGAGAGACGGTTCATGTAAACATTGACCTGAAGGAACTTGAAATCTGCTGTCTGCTGAGTTTGCATTTCCATCCACAAGACCCAGAGCAGAGGCTGCCGCCACCACAATTAAGAGTTTGACGTTTCCTGCAAAGATTGGGAAATAGCCTGCAATGGAGTAAAGTTTAGGTTTTGCAAACAAAAGCACCACTCCCTCCATTATAAGAAATTAGAAGAGATCTGCTGGAAACGGCCAAGGGCCTATCTAGCCCAGCATCCTCTTCTCAAAGTGGCCACGCAGATGCTTCAAGTGGAAGCCTGCAAGCAGCATTCAAGAACAAGAGACCTCTCCCTTACGTATTTTGTTTTCCAGCAACTAGTATTCAGAAACATTGCTGCCATTAATTGTGGAGGCAAAGCATAACCATTCTGGCTAGAAGCCATCAATTGCCCTCTCCTCCATGGATTTGTCTAATCCTGTTTAATGCCATCCAAGTTGGTGGCCCTCACTGCTTCCTGCAAGAGGGAGTTCCTCGGTTTGACTATGCACTGCATGAAGGACTTTCTTTTATCTGTCCTGAACCTTCCAACATTCAGCTTCATCAAATGTCCAGTGATTTAATAACGTTTTAAATGCTGTAACCCACCCTGGGAATTTAGAGGGGAGGATGGAAAATACATACATACATACATACATACATACATACATACAGTAAAGATAATGATAGTGCCATGAGTATCATGAGATAGAAAGAAAAAATCTTTTATCTATCCATTTTTTCCAGGCCATGAATAATTTTATAAACTTCTAGCATATTGCCTCTTCCTCCCCCTTTCTCTGAACTGTCCAAAATGCTGCAACCTTTCTTCATAGGGGAGTTGCTTGTCCTTGAGAATTTAGGAATTACTGTATTATTGCAATGCAGACAGCTTTAACCAATTTAACACTGTTCTATCAAAAAGCTCAGGTCCTGTTTGTGTCTTTCTCTTTGGGGCATCTGGTTGACACCTGTGAGAAGAGAATGCTGTTCTTTGGTTCCTACAAGTGGTTTGCCTAATGCTACCAAGGGAACCCCAGAAATACTTGTACTGTATTTTCCACAGCCAGAAACATCATAATCCAGGCTCTGAGATGCTCCACCAGACCAGCTCCTGTTTTTGTGCATTTCCATCCCCAAGATGGTGGGCGGAGGCATATTCCAAAGACCCCTCTGTGTGCCACAGCTCTCCCTGTCTTTGGCCAAGTGACCCTAAAGGCTGCCAAGAGATCCTGTTGCAGCCCCACTCAGCGTTTTGATTTTCCACAGGAAGCAGGACTGCCCCGTGGCTGATTTCCGAGGGTTGCTGCCTCCTGCCTTTCCCCCCGTAAACGATATCGGCCCCCTTTAGCTTCCGACAGGAACCAGAAAGGGAGGGACGTAGGCCGAAGCCTGCAGAGAAGTAGCCTGCAGGAGGCCCTTGACAGAGGGGCAGGGCAGCTTTTAGCAGGGGGCTTCTCAGCCCCTAAAAGCTGTCAGAAGGAAAGTGAGCCCCCGCCACGGCCTTCCCTTCAGCAGTGCAGTCTGATGTTTAAAAGAGGGCACCCTATAGAGAGCGTCTTCAAAGGCTCCCACTGGGGTGTCCTCCAGGTTCAGTTCCACCCTGCCCGTTGACAGGCCTTTCATCCTCTGTCTCCGTCCTCCTCATTATGGCCTTCTCGCCCCCTCCTCCAGCTTCCCCCTCCCCAAATCTCTCCGACCTCTTGCAATGGCAAACTGCCCGATAGGAACCAGCTGTTGATTCCAAGGGAAAAAATACCTCTCACAAAAGAGCTTCTCTCTGTAATTTCTTGGAAGCAGTCTCGATGAAGGTGGTGGGGGAATCACCACTGGTCACTTGTACTTCATGACCTATTCAGATTTTTTATCTTTATTTTATATAATCACACCTTTTCTCCAAGGAACTACATGGTTCTCCTTCCCATTTTATCTCCCAACAACCACAAGAGTAGGTTAGGCTGAGAGAGTCCAAGGTCACCCAGTGAGCTTCCTGGACAAGTTGGGGTTTGAACCCTGGTCTCCCAGATTTTAGTCCAGAACTGATACAGCCACTCCAGAAACGAAACCTGAGTCACCCCTACATACCATGCAACATTCCTCAAATGAAAATAGGGACACTTCTCAGTCCCCTGCCACAGACCCTCCTTGACCCCACATTTTATCCTCTCCCCCCACAGAGCATTTTCTATTGGAAGGAGGGCAAGTGCCACCCCCACTGCACCAATGGAGCACAGCACCCACGCCTTCCACCATCCTGAAAAAACAACAACCCTCAATCCTGATTTTATTTAATCTATTATTTGGTAGATTTACAAAAAGAAAACACACACAAATAAATAAATCACAAATGAATAAACTTTAGAAAAGGGGCCAAGATTAGATGCATTATTAATATTTAAATCAAGACTCCTTGTGCTCCACATTCATTCCACTCCCCCTTTCTTCCTGCCCAGGGAGCCCTGCCCTCTGCCTGCCCCTCAGAGCTGGCGCATCACATGGGGCTGGACCTTGGCGGCTGCATCCTCTCCTCCTCCTCTTCACCCCTCTCCAGCAGCCACTACAAGCAGCCCATAGGAAGTAGTGGCCATGGAAAGGACATGGAGATGCAATGGCAATGCAAGAGGATGCGCCCTTGCAGCTGCCGCCACCACGACTGCTGTCGCTCAAGGTAAGTGCTGGCTTATCCTCCTGCTCGAGCTAGGCAGCAGCAGCACTGGTGGAGGAAACAAGGACATTCCTGGATGGCTTTTGAAATGTCCCTGGAAAATCAGGACACTTGGAGGGTATGCCCCCATGCCCTGAAACTTTTCTTGAGACAAAGGCCTAGGGCTCCTTCAGTATGGCCTCTCCATCTTCTTCCAGCCTAAGTCATACAACCATGTTCCATAGGCATCAGAGCAAGAAGCATATTCATTACAGTGGTACCTCGGGTTACATACGCTTCAGGTTACATACGCTTCAGGTTACACACTCCGCTAACCCAGAAATAGTGCTTCAGGTTAAGAACTTTGCTTCAGGATAAGAACAAAAATCGGGCTCCAGCAGCACGGCAGCAGCAGGAGGCCCCATTAGCTAAAGTGGTGCTTCGGGTTAAGAACAGTTTCAGGTTAAGAAAGGACCTCCGGAACGAATTAAGTACTTAACCTGAGGTACCAGTCATGTCTGCACAACTAACTCAGTACCGGGCCTCCTTTGCAGAGTAGTAGCTCCATCCCCTTGATCACTCTGGTTGCCCTTTTCTGAACAGCTTCAAACTATACAATGTCCTTTTTGAGGCAAAGTGCCTCCCATCAGGAATTCCATGGTAATCCAAAGGATTTAATTTCCATTGAGGACATCATATTTCTGCTGGTGGATAATCAGGCCCCAACTCTCTTTGGCATATTCTTCTCCCTGTTGCTCTCATATGCTTTCAGCTCAACAGAAGAAGGTATGTATATCCAGTCAAGGAGTGACGGAAGTCTGCCCAGCAATTCAGCAGAGAGGACACACTGTGTCACCACAAGACCCACAGGGAGGTTTGGAAAACTGCTGATTTTGGAATTTCTATGGAGGAGGGAAGGTTGAAGGGCAAAGGATGAAAAATGAGATGGTCTGGGTTGTTTTTGTCATGACATCCAGAATGAAATATATTCCCAGCTGGAGGCAAAGAACTGATGCAGGTCCCTCCACCTTTATCCTCACCATGTGCAGGGATGCTGGGAGGCTAGGTGTGGGGAGCTGGTATAAATACCCAGGACCTATTGGTCCAGAGGCGGGCCTGGGACCCAACCATCTTCCTTATTTTTTGTAGTCTCATTAATTGTCAGTTGTTTTTGACATCCATTGTAGAATCAGTGAATTTCAAAGAAAATAATGTTATGGAAAAGAGGATACAGAGAGATGGTATGAGAGCCACCTTCAAATATCAGAAGGGCTGTCACATGGGAGATGGAGCAACCCTGTTTTCTGCTGCTGCGGAGGGCAGGACCCATGGCTTCAAGTTACAAGAAAGAAGATTCTGACTACATACCAGGAAGAAGTTTCTGAGGGTAAGAGCTGTTCGGCAGTAGAACGGACTCCCCTAGAAGCTGGTGGACTCGCCTTTGTTGGAGGTTTTAAAGCAGAGGTTGGGTGGTCCTCTTTCAGATCCCTCAGCTATGATTCCTGCATTGCATTGTGTTGCGCTACATGACTCTTGGGATCCTTCCCACATCTACAATTTTATGGTTTTAAGTTCTGAAAATAAGCAGAACAGCAGAACAGAGGCACCAATAGTGGCATTTCATTCAGCAGCAGAAGTCCTGTTTTTTTTTTTTAAGCATAGGTTGGATGCCTACCTGTAAATGACTCTTTGGTTTCATTGCAGGGAAAGGACTAGGTCAGGCATAGGCAAACTCCGGCCTCCAGATGTTTGGGACTACAATTCCCATCATCCCTAGCTAACAGTGCTCAGGGATGATGGGAATTGTAATCCCAAACAACTGGAGGACTGGAGTTTGCCTGTGCCTGGACTAGATAACCGTTGGGGGTACCTTCCACTTCTATGATTCAAAGCCGTTCTTACTGCCATTGTGTGTGTCCCTCTGAGGCTGCATTTCAAAGAGTTGACAGCCACCCTCTAAAACGGAGGCCAGCTTGTCCAATGGCACAGAGAGTTACGCTCCCTGTGTCGGTGAAGACCCTCTGAGCCAGGAGCAGTTGCCCTTTCCTTCCCCCTAAAATGGGCTGACTACAAATCCGAAACCATGCTAACATGCTAAGGAACAGCAGTCTTGACCTAGCACTGAATAAACATGAGCTCACTTTGGCTGGTGACCTGTATGCAGCCAAATGCATGCGCGCATATATATATATATATATATATATATATATATATATATATATATATGAGAAAGTGTGTGTGTATGGAGACAGGATGAATGCATGGGAGAGACAAAGATTTGGAATCGGAGGGTTGCTATGGAGACAGGTCAGATGCCTTTTGTTCTTCCATTCCAACGCAGCTTAGGGAGATTTGAAAAGAAACACCCGTTTGCTTTCAGGGGCTCAAAGAAGTGTATTCTCTTTCTTCTCCAGAAATCTGAGATAAAGAAAAGGGAACAACGATGTATTTGGGAGCTTGAGCTCCAACATTTAGCTACAATCTCCTCTGAAGCCAGAGGCAAATGAGAGTGTTTTCCATGAGGTCTTTGCAGGGGAACCTGCAAAACCTGTTTGACTGGAGTCATACCCCCTAAATGCCACACAGCGGCTTGTTCTCCTCTTCATTTTATGCTCTCAATGACCCCGCAAGGTAGGTTAGACTCCTGGGGAAACAGTTCTTTAGCACTGCGAATGGCCATTCAGGTTTTCTCCATATTGACATTTGCTCAGATTTAGCAGGAAAGTTGGGATTTTCCCAGGGAAAGGAGCAAGGCATGGGGGAAACTCTTGGACACCTAGAAATCACGGGTCAAGTGGAAAACCCCTCAGACACAGGTTTTCTAGGCATGGGACAAAGCGAAGTGT